GGAAAGGCAGGTTCCTAATAGATAGAAAACACCTGAAACTGATCAGCAGCTTCCCGATAAGATCTCAGGAGTAAGGAGAAGTAATGCAAGATCCCGGAAGTATGCCAACGTATAAAATTCCAAGTCAAGAGGTCAAGCTGGGCGCTGGGTTTCTCAAGTTGCCTGCTTGGCCCTCTTCCAAGTTGTACTTTCCTTCTTTTCTTTCCTTCCTTTCCTTATTGTTAAAAAGCTTTTTAATAAACTTTCACTCCTGCTCGGAAACCTACCTCTGTCTCTCCTTCTGCTTTATGCCCCTCAGTTGAATTCTTTCTTCTGAGGAGGCAAGAATTGAGGTTGCTGCAGACACGTATGGATTTGCTGCTGGTAACTTAGGGTAACTCCAATCTCCGCCACCACTAACAAAGTGCTACCAAAAACAAAAAAACAAAAAAACTCTCCCAAAGCAATCAACTTTGAAATAGACAAAATAATTAATAAATGAACCAAGATGTTGTTGGAAACTTTACATAGAAAAGAATACATACTAACAAAACAAATTTCAAAATTAATGAAAACTAATTAAAAATTAAAACAATTAATCAAAATTAAGGTGCAAAAAATTGGAGTGGCTTAACTACCCTTTTTAGAAAATTTATCAGGAATTAAAGTGAGTTAGCCGTGTTACATCAAGTCAGTACTTCCATGGTAAATTTCATTTCCGTTGGTTACAATTATGGCTAGAATCCTTGTATTCGAAAATAAGAGTCAGAACATCTGGGGAATCATAACAGGGTCAAAATGGGATGTATCACACCTATAGTCCCAGCACTCTGGGAGGCTGAGGCAGGCGGATCACCTGAGGTCAGGAGTTCAAGACCAGCCTGGCCAACATGGTGAAACCCCATCTCTACTAAAAATACAAAAATTAGCCAGGTGTGGTGGTGGGAGCCTGTAATCCCAGCTACTCCAGAGGCTGAGGCAGGAGAATTGCTTGAACCCAGGAGATGGAGGTTACAGTGAGCTGATACCATATCATTGCACTCCAGCCTGGGTGACAGAGCGAGACTCTGTATCAAAAAAAAAAAAAAAAAAAAAAAAAAAAAAAAAGGAGTTGCATTGTTCACCAATGACTTTGCGAAACCTGTAAGATGGAGAAGAATTAAGAGAGAGGGCCTCCTTTTTTCCTTTTTTCCTTCCTTCCTTCCTTCCTTCCTTCCTTCCTTCCTTCCTTCCTTCCTTCCTTCCTTCCTTCTCTTTCTTTCTGCTTTGTCTTGTCTTGTCTTGTCCTGTCCTTCAGCCTCCCTCTGTTGCCCAGGCTGGAGTGCAGTGGCACAAGCACAACTCACTACAGACTCAACCTCCCTGGCTCGAGTTATCCTCCAGTCTCAACCTCCCAAGTACCTGGGACTGCAGACACAAGCCAATACACCCAGCTAATTTTTAAGTTTTTTTTATAGAGACAGGGTCTTGCCTTGCTGCTCAGGCTGATCTCAAACACCTAGGCTCAAGCAATCCTCCTACCTTGGCCTCCCAGAGTGCTGGGATTACAGGTGTGAGCCACCACACTCGGCCCGGACAGGGCTTCCTACCACTCCCCACCAGCATCTCTACCGAGCCCACGGCCTGACCTGCATTCCAATACCACTTAGTCCAGCCTATGAAACAAGCCATGACTCTCATCAATTCTTCCCTTCCTTAGAATGAGCCTTGATGCTGTTCTTAAAGTAAGTCATATTTGATGTCCTTCACCCATTTTGACTGATCTTAGACTCGGGTGCCAATGTTTCCCAACCCATGGTTCCCATCTATTCATCAAATCGTCCAGTCAGAAGAAAAGACAGTTAATTCATGCTCACAATGTATTCACAGAACAGCCTTTACCTCCCGCTTCTTACTGTTTACCCACCCATTGTTTCATAGAGCTCAGGTTTGGGTGAGTGATAACAAGAAAATAGATAAACGGAAATGGGTGGGTGGTGGGGGTATAGGAGAGAGTGAGCAGGAAGAAAAAGATTGGAGACACGTAGTACCTTTTTTTTTTTTTTTTTTTTTGAGACAGAGTCTTGCTCTGTCACCAGGTTGGAATGTGGTGGTGCGATCTTGGCTCACTGCCTTCCGGGTTCAAGCGATTCCTCTGCCTCAGCCTCCTGAGTAGCTGGGACTACAGGCCTGTGCCACTACGCCTGGCTGATTTTTTGTATTTTTTAGTAGAGACGGGGTTTCACCATGTTGGCCAGGCTGATCTCGATCTCCTGACCTTGTGATCCACCCACCTTGACCTACCAAAGTGCCGGAATTACAGGTGTGAGCCATGGCGCCCGGCTGTGGTACCATTTTTTAAAATCAGAAAACAGTAACAGTGAAAACACTGGATATCTGGATTTTCTAAATAATAATATTTGTTTGCACATACGCTTTATTCACTTTAAGTTCTCCCTACCCTTCACTTTAAGACAAAATATTTTATTTCACTGGGATTATCATCATGAAATATATATTTTTTTTGACATGGAAATTGGAAATGTGGATTCTGTAACAATAATGACTGTGTTTATAGCCGTAATGTTAATCAGTTCCATTCTACTGCTAGACTACGGTATAGTAAAGTAAAACCAAAATTTTACATGTGTCCTCAGTGTATCCTTACTTTTTGTACTGTCTCTATCTTCTAGATGTACTACTTTCTGAACACCAGAATTCAGCAGAGCAGCTGGCACCAAACAGGATCGACAATCATTTAATAAGTAAATGAATGAGTGATGTCCATACAACCTAGACATGACTGACATTCACCCTTTTCTTTCTTTCTTGAGAAGGGGTCTCACTCTGTCACCCAGGCTGGAGTGCAGTGGCCTGTCATGGCTCACAGCAGTCTCAAATTCCTGGGTTCAAGTGATCCTCAGCTTCCTGAGTAGCTAGGACTACTGGGGTGCACCACCACACCTAGCTATATTAAAATTATTTTTGTAGAGAGGAGGTCTTGCTCTGTTGACCAGTCTGGACTCAAACTCCTGACCTCAAGTGATCCTTCTGTCTTGGCCTCCCAAAGTGCTGGGATTACAGATGTGAGCCACTTCGCCCAGCCCACTGTTTTATTTTTGTGAGTATATTGTGGGTTTCTATTTATAAATTGGGTGGGGAGAAGATCCCCTTGCTTCTTGAGATCATTTTACCTTTCTTGCTTAGAAAGAAAGGTAAATAATAATAAAGTATAGGTTAATAATAATAATAATAAATAATAAATGTAAGTAATTATTTACCTTTCTTGCTTAGAAAGGTAAATAAATGATTTGAAAGTGCTTATTGGAGGGTGGTTTTTTTTTTTTTTAAATGGAAAGTGACTCAAAAGTGAAGTCTCAGTTGAAGACCTCTTTTTTTTTTTTTTTTTTAAGTCTTACTCGAAAGGAAGTGAGTATGAGGTGAATTGCATTAATCTAAAGTACTGCAGAGATGAAACTTAAAGCAGGAAGCAACATACCATGAGTGTACTGGAAGGGAACACATTTGTGTCATGTGAAGAGACATGACAAAAACAGCCCTTCTTAAATTATTTGTGGCAGTAGTGATCACATTCATTTTAATTTTGCCGGAATATTTCAAGACACCAAAAGGTGAGTATGTAATTGTAATCTAGCTTTGCCTTCTTAATTTTAAAAAATTAGTGTCAGCTAGTGGTTACAGAGAAGATCCTCTTTTTCGATACATGCTGCATAGGCTGAAATTCTAGATCTGAAAAACTAATAAAATAAAACAAGATTGCAATTGTAGTTGACTGTTATATAGTATAGTAACCTAATTCATAGTACTTAATTATCGTAGCATATCTAAAAATGAAAATATTTAAAATCTGTAGTCAAGATTTCAGACATTGAGATTACAACAATCTCATCATGATTTTGCTCTTTGAAACACTTTCTTCAAAGCAGCTTTTTTTTTTTTTTTTTTTTTTTTGTGGGATGGAGTCTCGCTCTGTTGCTCAGGCTGGAGTGCAATGGCCCAATCTTGGCTCACTGCAACCTCTGCCTGCTGGATTCAAGCAATTCTCCTGCCTCAGCCTCCCGAGTAGCTGGGATTATAGGCGCCCACCACCACATCTGGCTAATTTTTGTATTTTTAGTACAGATGGGGTTTCACCATGTTGACCAGGCTGGTCTTGAACTCCTGACCTCGTAATCCACCCGCCTTGGCCTCCGAAAGTGCTGAGATTACAGGCTTGTGCCACCGAGCCTGGCCCAAAGCAGCTTTCAGTATGTGTTTACTTTCTGGAATTCTTTAATGAAGAAAGTGATATTTATTGTGTTAAAAATTCTAGAATTCCCTCTACTACAACTATTTCACACAGACAACTTACTGTCACCTTTTGACAAGAAAAAGCATTTATGTATTTTGAAAATACAATTAAAATAAGATGAGTGCAAATTTAAACAGATGTGTGTTTATGTATTTGTAACTGGAGAAAAATGGAACAAAATTAACTTTGTGAACATTTCAGAAAATTGTAATATGATCGCTGAAACCCAGATAAGGAAAATAAATAGGTATAAATTTAAACTATTTTGATATGCTAGCAAAGGACTTGCAAATGTATTAATGTGAGTGTTCAGATGGTAATTGTGCTCCCTAGCACTTAAAAAGAAGAAAGGGTGAAAAGAAAAGGCTGTATTCTATCATTAAATAGTCTTTATATGAATTGGATTAAAATCAGAGAAAAACTCATATTTGATGATTTGCTGCAATGAATATTTATTGTTGCATATACGTAATGCTAAGTAGCCAGATAAAAATATTTTTGCTAATTATATTTGATGACATATTTCAGTGATTATTTGATGTTGCATTTACATGATGCTAAGTCGTGAGTTAAAAATATTTTTGCTAAATAAACACTATGACTACAATTTGGCTTTCTGGCATTATGTTACTTAGATGAAGCAATCATAGCACATATTTTCAATGCTTGATTCCACTGGGTTATAAAGAGAATAGTTAGAATAAAGATAATCTAATTTTAAGATATTGTGGGCTGAGAATAAGCTCATTTAATAGTTATCCAGAGTAGGTTCTATCTATTTATCTATCTAGCTATCTAACTAGCTATCTACATCTAGCACCTCTTAAAAATCAGGTTGGATCTAATAAAAACCAGGTAATCATCCCAAAAATGACTTAATTAACTATTGGTTAGTATTTTATGAGAACTGGTGGCTACAGGAGCACGTTAAAGTTTTCATTTTGGGGCAGATACATAGTTCTGTTAGTTTTTGTTTCTCAAAGTAAGAAGCATGGCCTTCTGGGGCAGTGGTAAGCAGAAAGAAGACAGATGAAGCACAGAGAAATTCTTAGTGGGGGACAGATGGGAGTCCCTTCTATTGGTGGGTAGAAGAAAGAGCTCTTATAAAATCCATCTTAGCCAAACTTCCTTGGCCTAATAGTAATGTGTCAGTGTTCTTCTTCACCTTGTCAATAATCAACCATCATTTATGATGATGTTTGTTCTCTTGCTTTCAAAACTGGTTACATCAGCTCCCAATACCTTTACTGCCTTCCCAAACTTAAAATAGCTGTTTCTCTTCTCCTGGTCCAAGAATAGCATAGATATTACTCCAAATTCTTTCTGGGTTGATGGATTTTTTTTTTGTAAAGAGACAGGGGGTCTTGCTATGTTGCCTAGGCTGACTCTGGGGCTCAGGCAATCCTGCCTCAGTCCCCAAGCAGCTGGGACTACAGGCACATACCACCACACTCAGGTGGATTTATTGGGGAATTTTGTTTCAAAGGAACCCTACTTGGGGGGCCAAAAAACAAAAATGTTCAAAAACCACTGTCTTCTTTTACATTATTTAGTGGTAGAAGGAATTTTGCACAGAGCTGCCATAAACAAAAAGTTGATTACTAGGCAAAATGTTATACACATGCAATTGTGTAATAATAATAAAATTATAATAATAATAAAAACTATTATATTTTTATAATGGTTTATGGATCACCAGGAACATCTTTTTGTAGCCTCATTTAATATATCCCATATTGATTAAATGAAGAAACTTGGACATAATTGTCTTGGTTTTAAAAAATTAGTTCTTAATTACAGTAATAGTTGACCTACGAAATGAGTTAAATTGACAACTAATACTAAATAAAATAGCTAGTAAAATGATTTGATGATAAGCAAGAGTGTTCTAGAAGTGCTACAATTAACCTTGTGAAATTCCCCTGTCTAGTCTTACTTTGTTAGTTTGTCTTTTTTTTCTTCATTTTTTTCTCATGTTCTATTCACTGTAATTTCTAAGATAAATATTATAAAATAATTTTACTTATAAATTATTCACTGATACCCTGTCTTTAACATGTCAAATGAATTCAAAAGGAATCTTAATGAGGAATAATATACTCATGAGGTTTGATAGATTTGATTTCAAAATAATAAACCCTCTGAAGTCCTAAGTTAAAAATAAAGCACCTTGTTTGATCATTTTTCATCAAGAACGTATCTGAGTCTCTGAGTAATTATTAGTAGGAATATTCCATTATCACAATTACACAGTATACGCTATTTAGTTTTAACTTTACCAAAAAAGGGAGCTACTTCAACACTGTTTGAGACTTATAATGGGTTTGCATTGGCTATGCACTACTAGCAAGATAACCTATTTTACAGCAGTGTTTTTTAACCTTTCCATTTATTTGAAAGGCAGCTAATATATAGTAGTTAATATAATGGTTTGATGCATTTGTATTACATGTAGATAATGGAGATACAAAAGGGAGTGGTGGATATATTTTGATTCAGAGCTTCTTGCAATTAGGGGAGCTAGCTTACTCCCAAATAAGAGACTTTCCAAGCTGTTTTTGTTGGACTTACAGTGTTTAAGAGAGAGACTTGGCTAACTCCCGTGTAAATCCCAGTCATCTTTTATTTATTTATTCTTTCACCTGTGATAGGAACCTGGGGCTACAAAAATGAAAGGCAACTCTTCCATCAAGGAATTTTCATTCAGGGGGAATGACTGACTGGCAAACAACTAAATAAAATACAGGAATTAACTAAAACAGGGATGTATAAACAAGATGCAATGGGAACATAAACATTGCTTCCACATCAGTCTCTGGGAGGACATTCTTTGTATTTCCATTTGCAAAGAGAAATAATTGTCAGAGTTTGAATGATCCGCTAATATGCCTTCTTATCTGTTTGCAAAAGCGCTTTTCAAGAGAAGAAATGATGATTATTAAATAAAATATTCTCATATCGGTATATCAATAGTTCCTGAAAGAGGAAATTGCAGTGAGTCACACAAGTGTACTCCCAATGATTTGTGGTGATACAGGCTAGGAATAGCACAGATGAGTCCGGGTGCGGTGGCTCACGCCTGTAATCCCAGCACTTTGGGATGCTCAGGCAGGTGGATCACCTGAGGTCAGGAGTTTGAGACCAGCCTGACCAACATGGTGAAACCCTGTCTCTATTAAAAATACAAAACATTAGCTGGGGCTGGGGGGCGGTGTAATCCCAGTACTTTGGGAGGCCGAGATGGGTGGATCACTTGAAGTCAGGAGTTCAAGACCAGCCTGGCCAAAATGGTGAAACCCTGTCTCTACTAAAATACTAAAAATTAGCCTGGCATGGCAGCATGCACCTGTCATCCCAGCTACTCTGGAGGCTGAGACAGGAGAATCACTTGAACCCGGGAGGCGGAGGTTGCAGTGAGCCAAGATTATGCCACTGCACTCCAGCCTGGTGGACAAAGGGAGACGTCTTCTCAAAAAGAAAAAAGAAAAAAAGGAAAGAAAGAAAGAGAGAGAAAGAAAGAAAGAGAGAGAAAGAAAGAAAAAGAAAGAAAGAAAGAAAGAAAGAGAAAGAAAGAAAGAAGAAAGAGAAAGAAAGAAAGAAAGAAAGAAAGAAAAGAAAGAAAGAAAGAAAGAAAGAAAGAAAAAGAAAGAAAGAAAGAAAGAAAGAAAGAAAGAAAGAAAGAAAGAAAGAAAGAAAGAAAGAAAGAAAGAAAGAAATTTAGCTGGGCATGGTGGTGGCGTGTGCCTGTAATCCCAGCTACTCTGGAGGCTGAGGCAGGAGGATCGCTTGAGCCTGGGAGGCAGAGGTTGCAGTGAGCTGAGATCACCCCATTGCACTCCAGCCTGGGTGACAGAGCAAGACTCTGTCTAAAAAAAAAAAAAGAAAATAAAAAGAAAAAAGGAATAGCACAGATGAAAACACCTCAGACCTAATTTTATCTAGCTGTTTTGACTTCCTCACTTTCTTTTAAGAGCCAAACTGACATAAACTCTGTTTACCGGCTTTCATTTCCCCTTCTATTTCACACTTTGTGATGGAAATGGTGGTATAATGAACAGGAAATTGAAGAAAACAAAGAATAAAGGAACTATAGGATAAACTGACATAATATGAGCATATGTTCACTGTGTTTAAGTCTGTTATAAAGACTACCACATCAAGGGTAATTGCAATTAATTTCCTGAAAGTGTTATTCTAGTTCTCAAAAATGAACGCTTTTTTTTATTCATAAATATTTAATAAGTAATCCCCAGTAAGGCCTTATGACTATTCAAACAGTTCTTTTTTAATTTTAACAAATACATTTACATGTGCCAGTAA